AATACATTTGCGCTTTTCTGAAATACATTTGAGGTTTTCTGAAATACGTTTGGCCTTTTCTGAAATACATTTGTGTTTTTCTGAAATACTGTTGGAAAAGGTGTAGTGTACGGTAAATTTTATGCCCCTAAATCTTAAAAATTTGAAGTAATAAGCTTCTCGCGAAGAGCTGTTCAGCCAGTTGCTTATACAATAGATACCCATAATCTGGAACAGGTACACAATTGTGTGGGACTTGGTGTCACAATGGAAGCTAAACTTAATTTTAGCCTTACAGTCAACAAGGCTAAAGGTGTACTTGTATTTGTGAAACGATGGTCAAATAAAAATTTAGTGACCCTTACATCACTACAATCCTGTTTACAACAATAGTTAGGCCGATTCTGGAATACGATTAAGACATGATGGTATCAATTAAAAAAACAATTACTACTTTTGGTTTTAAGAAATTTCCGGGATTATCAATATAATCTTGCAGCTTATACACAGTCGCAGGGAAATGCTTGGTACAATTTCCATAGTTCTATTACTGACAAGCTTAATTTCTAGTCCGCTTCTTCTGGCTGAAGTTAGCCCTAATATTCCCCCTCGTGTATCAGGACACTTTTGCCCCATATATCTGAAAGTTTGTAAAACTAATTTTGAATTACACGAGCCACTCCGTTGCTTATGCCAGGATTTTAACTCTCATTGCAGCACATTTGATATATTAGATTATCTTTTCAGCACTAAGAAAGCGATACTATCCTCTCTCAATAAATGATTGACTAACATAAAGACATAATAATCAACTGATGGATTTTATTCTGACCTGAATCGTTTTAAATTTCGACTGTTAACAAACTTCTGCCTTTCGTGACTCGGCGCAAAACTTGAAGAAAAAAAGTTCCGTACGACTGCGCCCCTTGTGCGGATGGGCGGCATGAAGTTGCAAGATTTAACCCAAACTTTTATTCTGGTAAAATCATGAAAAGTGTGAAACGATGAGCTGTTACACAAAAGCAAAACAAAAAGTTGTACGTTTTTTTAGTTGGTAGTGAAAAATATTAAAGTATTATCGTAAATATTACCGTTTCGTATGTGATTTAATGCTCCCGGCTAGCAATCAACTATTAATTTATTGCTTCCCGTTTGTTCGGTTTCTTTCTTTTTTTAATTTGAAAGAAAACTGTTTGACGTTTTTACAGGAAAAATACTTTTCTGTGTTCTCGTACTATTCGGTTGTTACTCACTTTTTAGTTTCACTCCAGAGAGTAATCTTGCTGTTTGACATTTTTAAAGGATTTTACACGAAAAGTATTGGATCAGAGCTAATAATAAAGGTGCACCTAGAGCAACTGAATGTATTTCTACATCGTAAAGAAAATTTTTAAAATACTGTCGTTTCAATTTTTTGGCGATTATGGCTTGATATATTGCATGCATTCTTCGTAAGTGGTTACAAATAAAAAAGTAAAATAAATCAGTTAAACTTTTATGAATATCAAAAATTTGTTAAAAAAGGCGTTTAAAATCTGAAGTTAATAAAAAATTCCAGCTTTCATGATACATATATTGTGTTATGGCAAACTAGTAAATGCTTCAAAATATGAATAACCGTTTTTTTGGTCAAAAATACAGTTCCTAAAGGGCATTTGAAAATTGTGAGTGTGCAGCTTTTCTTAACTTTACATTTTCTATACTTTGTGAAAACCTCAAAAGAGTATGTAAATTCGTTTGTCACATAGTGTAATTAATAAAATTCAAATGGACGCCGTTAATTTAACTGAAGTGTATCTTTTTCAATGTCATTTCATTGGTGTGGCATTAAGGTAAATGCGTAATTGAAGTATTTGTGCTAATATTGAGTGTGATTTGTTCTCCACTTGACTTTGGGCTTAAGGCATTTGCTACACATGTAAGTATTTAAAAAATGTAGCTAAAAGTATTCTAATATATAGTATAATACATAAATGTACATACCCATGAATATATCGATATAAAGTAATTAAATATATGAAACGGTTACTTACCAAATGGAATAAGCAAGCATTTTTTCGATATAACCATTTTAATGCAGTTCGAGTCGTTTAAAGAAACTGCGTCAAACTGCGGCAAATTTTGGTAGGTAACCGTTTCATTTACTTTGTACGCGGCAACACTGTATGTGAGTCGTAACAACTTTCCATTTCTCTTGTCTGCTTTCCGCTGCCGGTTTCTCCTCTCCTCCTCCTCCTCTTCTAGCAAAATGAAGCCGAACATACGCTATCATTGAGTCGTCGTTGGCAGATAACTTCTTCGCGTGGGTAGAGTCCTTAAGTTTATCTATAAAATGGTTTGACAATTTGATCCAACTGCCAGGGTGGTCAGTGTTTCTGAGGGTATTCTTCCTGTAATCACCCTTGTTACCGAAATGCATTAATGCCATTCGGGTTACTCGAACTAGTAGATTTTAGTCACATTTTACGATAGGATTGCCTTACTGCGGGTATATTCTAAGGCCCCTACTCCCCTCCAAACAATAACATTTATTCTCATGTTCTCATGGGCAGATTTTTATGATTACAAATAGAATCTTACCTTCTGTCAGTCCAGTTGATATTCATGATTTCTGGGTCTCTGATAACGATTCCTTAATATACCTGGTGTCACGTATCCACTTTGATGGCTATGAAACAGTGTACGGTGAACTTCATGAAGGCGACTTTTTTCAATGAAACGTCTGGCTCTCACCATGACCATCAACAAATCACAAGGTCAGTCGGGGGCAGTTTGCTGGACTTGGATTTGTAGGTATGTACAGTATCGGTCATATCTATAGCACGCCATTTCCAAGTGATATTATGTGCCACTTATGTTTATTTATTTGTTTTTAAGAATTTTCAATTAAAATACAGTTCATTCTCAGACAAACCCCATATAAACCCAAGTGTAACAATTTGTAGAAAACTACAAAAAAGTGTAACAAATTTTCACCTAAATTTCAAACTTTTTTCTCGGAAGTGTTACAATTTTTTTGAGTACACAGTTTTTTAGCCCCTTCAATTTTAGTCTGATAATGGTCTAATAAGGTGTTGCGGATTTCTTCCATATACAAATAAATTGAGTTTATTCATTATATGGAAGCCAATGCGACAAAAAAAAATTCTAAAAAATAAACGGTAAGTCGTAGCCGCTTTAAATTTGCACATTATTAGACTAAAATTGAAGGGGATAAAAAACTGTGTACTCAAAAAAATTCTAACACTTCCGAGAAAAAAGTTTGAAATTTATGTGAAAATTTTTTGCACTTTTTTGTAGATAAACATAAGTGACACACAATATCACTTTGAAATGGCGTGCTATAGATATGACCGATACTGTATGTCGCCTGCTCGCGTGTCAGCAAGTCATAATCTTTGTTTGTTTATATATGGTGGAACAACAACAAAGTTAGTGAGCAAATACGAATAGAAGCGTGTATATGTGCTTAGATAGTTTGGGGTTGTTGACAACAGCTAATCTGCTCTTTTACCCGAATGTCAGGTCACTTGTCCAATTTGGTGAATTCCCCTAATGTTTCCTATTAAACGAAAATGCTATAGGATTTGCTACTTGCTACATAATAATGCTTGAAACACAATACCCGGCGAACAGCGAAGTTCGCCGAATTAAGCGAAGCCGTCGTTCACAGTTCGCCCTGCTATTTCGTGTACTTTAACACCATTAGAGCGGTAGCGAAAACAGCAGATAGCATTTCTTTGCAATACTAATTTAGGTGATCATATTTCGAAAAACGAAACCATATTTGGAAATGATGAAATGATAGCAAATGTAAAGAAAAAACGAGGAGGAATTATTTTATGTTAAGCCAGATTTAACGAATCGATCACTATATTGCTGACAGCGTGAATTTCGCTGTGGTGAGTTCGCCGTTCGCCGACATTGTGTTTCCACGGTAAGTATGTAGATGTGGTACCACAGAGCTTTTAAAAACTTAATTAGTTTTCTACTTTTGTAAATAAACCACCGTTAATCATAAACGACTACTATTTATAGTCATTCATGAAGAATTACAAACTCAAGCTAAGATAGTTGCAAGTCTTTTATAAGACAATTGAAAGACAGTCGGAAAGATACTTTGGAAGAGTTGATTATTCTGGCACGAAAGTCTTACCAAAAAAAGCTCACTTCGCAGTTTTCAAGGTGAAAAGCTCTTTTCGTATATCATTTTGCTCCAACAGTTTCAATGACCGAGTGAGTAAAGCGCTGGTGTGCGATTCTAGAGATCACAGGTTCGAATCCTCGTACTTGGGGTTTTATTTTATAATTTGATTTTTTCTTTCTTTATTTTAATTTTCTTTTAATTTTTAGATTTTTAAAGATATATATTTATTCTATATATTTATTCAATTTCGTTTAAATTTTAGAAATTTATTTAATTTATTTTTATACGTGTTTTTTAATTTAGTTTACGTTTACTTTTTAGATCTTTTATTTTTGAAAGAAATACATTTTTTCAATTTCATTTAATTTTTCGATACTTACTTTATTTTATTGGTTTAATTATATTTTATTTTAATTTAATTTATAGATTTCTTTATTTTAAAAAGAAAAAATGTGTTTTAGTTATGTGTAATTAAGTTTTTCTGTTAATTTTGCATTCTTTTTTATTTTTAGATCATTTTGTTTCAAAAAGAAAAACTGTTGTTTTTATTAACTTAGTTTTTACAAATTTATTTTATCATTTTCTTTGCTGTAATTAATTTTTTTATTTAACTTTCTTTTAATTTAAGTCTTCATCGTTAAAAAAAAAAAATATAAAAAAGGAGGAGATTATCAGTTCGTCCGAATATTTATTATTTTTTTTTATGTATGTTACCGCATAACTTTGGACCACGTCAACCGATTTCGATAATTCTCAGATATGTATTATGGCTTTATGTTAAATTTTTCTTTTATTTATTTCCTTTATTTTTTACTTATTCCTCTAGTACTATTTTAATACACATAAGGTTAACATCTTAGTTGCTCTTCTAGGCTTAATAGCCAAAAGTGATACCCGCCGTTTCGAGTATTCGACAGATTCTTAACCCATTCAGTAAAAAATCAACCGTTGATGCTAAAAATTTGAAAATTTATGTATCGGACTGTTAGTTTTACCGTTATTCATCACCCATTATATTGCACAATCGTACACTAGGATTGTAAAGTAGAAAGTGATATCAATTATTTTTATTTTTTTTTTTCGAAAAATGTTTCAAAACCACGGATAATAATTAAAAATGTTTGCGAATCTCAATTCCAACGAAAATAAGTGAAGTTTTTAATACGTTACACTTCTATGGACTTTTGTTATACTTTTCACTTTCGTGAAAAAACACTGGCAATCGCATGAATATATAATTTAAAAAAAAAAGTGGTATAGAAGAACAACAAAAGCTCTTATTTGCTGGAAAAGAGCTTTAAGCACAAAAAAAGTTTCTCCAATATATTGGACGCTTGTACTGAAAGGGTTAATACTATATGTGTGCAGTGTAATTATGGTTTTCGACCATCATCAGAATATCTAAATAAAATTTAAAATCACATCGGCAGCTAGTTTTACGGAAATTCAAAATGTTGTTCCTTCTTCAAATTTTATTCAGGGCACTTATGTTATCATTGCGGTTAAACGGCGCTTAATCCAGTTTTTTTTTTTTATGAAACTCACATGACAATAAGCATGCGCAAATTTTATACTGCATGCAGGAAAAAGCAATTTATTTTCCAAATTTTGTTATCTTACGCATTTTTTGCAATAAGGCTTTAAACGCTTTTCGATATTTGTTCCATAGAATCTCCAATACAAGGCAAACACAGGCTAGACCTATTAACACACCTAGTCCTGTCAATATTCCATGTAGATCCTGCAGTTTCACCGGCTCGAAACCCGGCTTTTTATTTCGATCTTCCAGGCGAAACCAATGCATCTCCACTAATTCCACAAAGCTGTGTCGCCGCCAGTGTTCCACCAGCCCAGCTTCATGTAGCTGCTCTAGAAATTCATTTAAACGTTGTCGATGCACTGAACTCTCCTGCAACGGTAAAACCATTGGATAATTTTCACCAAAGCACATATTGGAAAAACGAAAAAGCGGTCGTGAGAAATATTTCTGTTGCTCATCGTAAATGGCCCAAATGTCGGTCACCGGAAAAGCATAGCGTGTGTCCAATGAGTCGCGTAGAAATACATATTCGGTAAAGTTCGTGTAAACGGTGAAATTTTGCATATATTTTTGAATATCTGAATTATTCGCAGCGAACGACAAATCTTCACGCGTAATAGCCAATTTGATGCCACGTCTCAGTAGCTCTTCAATGGTGTTGATTCTCTGGCCGATGGGCGCATTTATGGTGAAACTTTGTAGATATGTTGTGTATGTCGTGCTGACAATGACACCCGCCCACGAAATGGTAACGCTGATAATTTTCTGAACAGCTGAAACGCGCCGATTTGTCCAAAATGACATGCCCATCAGACCTTGAAGCACCGAAAAGTTGGGCATGTAAGTGATCAATGACAGTGGTTTCTTATTTTCCCAATGCGATAAAAGTGACCACACAACAGAGATGAATAAAAAGCAAACACAAAATAATATTTTGATTGTTTTATCTAGGATTTTATAGTAAAATGTGGACTTGGGCAGTGGCTGTTCGATGGGCACCATCAGACACCAATCGCTGCGTTGGAACACGACGGAGTAACTCAAGTCACGTTCATTGCTATCTATTGGCACCAATGAGCCAATGTCATAGGAATTATTTTCGAAGAGTTCAATCAGCTCAGACCTGGTGAACATCTTATGTATATTCAGTAAAGATTCTGTGTACTCCACTGTGGCATTGTGATGTGTTGCATACTCGGCAATGGCTCGACCTAAAAAGCCGCTGAGTGTTGCATTTCCATTTGCCGGTGTGTAGGTGTAGATTTGTGGATGAAAGGAAGTCAAGACCAAACGCAATGGATGTCCATGCATATTCTGCAAATGTTTGGGAAAAATGCTCTTGTAGAGCGCTGGTAGCGAGCGTTTAACCGCTTTGGGTTTGGGAAATATTCGCAAAGTCCAGTAGGTGCGTTCCATCACCGTTCTATGCGGCTGTAGAGCAATTACATTCGTAGCGCGATTCTTTTCACATATTTGAAGCATTAATTCGACATAAGCGTCGCTGGCACAATCCTCGAATAGCAGAATGAGACGAGATTGTCTATTACGCCAAAGGCGTCGCCAGAGTCTTTTCAATAGATGTATGTCCAACTTAAAGCGCTGCTTCAGTTTGGCGATGGAGAGCAGTTCGGCGTTGAATCGTTTGGTATAGCGGTGAATGGGCGGCGTTGTGTCCAGATGCAACAATGGCTGGCTCAGTGCGTTGGAGAGCGTGTATAGTATTTGTGAGGACTCTGGCGTGTCAGTTGGTTGCACGCTTTGATTACTTTCAGCATAGCTTGTGTAGAGTATTGTATTCACGCGTCTCTCCAACGAAGTGGCCAACGTAATATTTGTTAGTGTTTCGATGAATTCTTGACTAATTGCTGACCATCCAATTATGTTGAGCAGCGCTGTAAGATTTCCGAAGTTCCGCATATTTTTGTCCAATTCAATTATTTATCGCGCACGCAGTTGTAACTTAGACTAAGACTTGATTTACTAAATCTCTGAAAAATGCAATGGTAACAATTGTGAATGCGAAAATGCAAAGAAATTACTTTTTTGCATGCGTCAGCAAGGATTAATGACATGAAATTAAATTGTGTACGGTACCCGATTGAGATGCCTCGAATTAAATAAATATTTAAGCTATTTAATAGTAAACGTGTAATTGCTTATAAATGAATGTGTAGACTTGAGTATAAATAAAGTTTTATAAGGCCGGAGTTTTTGACAAAACTTTTACGTAATACTTCGGGATACTTCGGGATAATTCCGCGATACTGGATGCCTAAAAAAAATCTTCTAAAATATTAGTTAAAATTGACATTTTTTGTTAAATATTAAAAATCCAAAAATCATAGTTTTCTTGCTCGAACCAACTATGTGTTAAGAATTTGGAATTTTCTCTAGTTATATTTAACTTAATAGCCTTATGGATGACTAAATTGATTTATTTTTGTTGTGTAAACATCTTAGCTTGCGGTATGGGTAAAATTTGCACAAAGTTTTTAAGGGCTTCATGTGCAACCCAGCAGGAAATCCATAATTGCTCAGGAATATTACGAAATTAGCTTAGAGATATTTAGCGACTGATTCGGGATCGTGTCGGGACCGTTTCGATACCTGTTCAAGACTATTTTAGGGCCACTTAGGTACTTAGTCGGACCATTGCGGGACTGATTCACGACTATTTGAGGACCATTTCGAGACTAATTCAGGACTATTGCAGGCTCATTTCTGGATTAGTTCAAGAATATTTTGGATCTAGCTCGGTTTCATTTGCGGTACCGTTTTACGAATTCTTCAAGATCATTTAGGTACAAGTTCACGACCGTTTTGACCGTTTCGGGCCCGGTTCAGAACTATTGCAGGAACATTTAGTAACTAGTTGGGGACCATTTTGGGATCGTTTCGGGACCGTTTCGGAACTTGTTCAGGTTTATTTCAGGACCTTTTCGGGATCAGGTCGGAATGTTTTCCAGGTCGAAACGTTTTCTATTAAGGAGACAGTGAGGTACATAAAAGAGAATGTACCCGCGAGAACGCAGGTGAACATCCTCTCTGATTGCCATGCGGCCATCCAGACTCTCTCTTATACCTCTGTGAGATCTCAACAAGGGGATGAATGTAGGAGAGAGCCTATATTTCTGATTAATACGAAATTACCCTAATGTGAGTCCCGGGACATAAGGACATTTACGAAAACGAGGCAATGTGTCCCAGGCAGGGGACATGGGCGCCTAGCTCAGGAAGATAAAGACAAAAATTACCGAAAGTTATCACTCGAAGGCCAAGCAGAGTTGGAACTCCATATGATCTTACCGGATTAGCCGGCAGTTCTGGGTGTCCTATGACACACTTAAAACCAAAGCTCTTAGGAATGAGCTAAAACATGTCTACAAATTTATTGCAGTGTGTACAGGGCACTACCCCGTTGGGGTACATCCGAAAGGATAGGACTGCCCTTTAATAGGATTAAGTTTAGGATTAAGATACAGATTAATATGATTAAACTCAAGATTAAGGTTACGATTAAGATTAAGGTTAAGAGTAAGATTAATATTAATATTAAAATTAAGACTTACATTAAGATTAAAACCAGGACTTAGATTACGATTAAGGTTAATACCAAGATTACTATAAAGATTAAAGATTAAGCATAGGTCCCGTGACATCATCGCGAGGCACACCGAAAATTTGAGGAGAACCCCGGCCAAGCCCATCTAATATGTGCTGCATTTGTGTACATATTTTTAGAAACACATCCATACATATTATACTTACGTATGTGTGTGTGTATGAGAGTATGTATGAGTATTTCATTGCACATCCAAATACTTGAAATAACAAATTTGTGTAAAATGCCATCAGCAAATATTTAACTTTTTTACCCATCCACAATGGTATTTATTTACATTATAAGCAATTAAAAAAGTAAAATAGCTTACTATGGTACAACAACAATGTTCGTAATGATAAACACGTAGCCAAATGAGGTATTTATGCAATTTTCGTTTTTTTTTCACTTTTGACGTCTTTCACACTTGTTCGACAAAAACTCATAGACAGAGGGGGGGGAGAAATGTAATTTCATTGAGCTCATACATTTTTGTTTGTCTGCAGTTGTTGTGGTTTTCTGTATTACAACTGTGAATTGAGTAAATATTTGTGTACTTGAGTGCAATTTAACATACATATGCAATGAAGTGTCCACCACCAATGAAAGTCATCTATGAATGTAAAACAAATCAAAAAAAATAATTAAATAAAAGTAAATACGTATAAAAAACTATTTCATGGCTTCATTGTAAATTCAAAATAATGATGGACTTATTAAGAGAGTAATTTTTTGAATTTAAGTATTTCGCATGCCTGCTAGCTATTTATTATTTTAAAGCCAGTTTATGTTATTTTTATGTTAAGTTACTTTTTGTTTTTTTCCTTTTATTACAGCTCTAGTATTTGGATATAATTATATATTTCCCGTTAACGAATTCGCTTCAAAATGCGCTTCACCATATTGAATACGATGCAACCCACTTTGGTTGAGAAATCTTCTTCGCCTAGTTTTGACAGCTATTCAGCCACCACACCCTTGAGTACATCATCACCACCACCGCCACGACCACAACGTCAAGTCACCATTGAAGCAGAGCCTGATTCGCTTGATAGTGTTATTAGTAATCCACAGTCGTATCCAATAACAATCGTACCAAATCGACCGGCTAGTTTCTATGGTTATCCAACAACAAATGGTGGAAAGACTTTCTGTCGTCAAGCGAGTACCAGGTGAGTTCAATTACATAATTATATGTTAATATTTTCGTATACTTCCGCAGCCAAAATTTTAAGCGCAAAATTTTCCAAAATTTCATAAAAATCTGCTTATTGCCAAGTTGATGTTCGGAATTTTTATTTTGAATAGAAGAAAATAAGGTACAAGCTGGGAAGAAGAAAGGTGTCAACGTCATTGAAAATCTTGAAATTCCGGTTACGCTAGGAAAGCAGCGAAAAAGGTGGAAGATGGTAGCGAGACAAAGATAGAAAGAGCCTGTTTTGCTGCCACCGGCTCTTCTTCGGTCCCGAAAGGTACACCTTTGAAAACCAATAATTCTTTACGGTCTTCTTCTTTTTCTTGTATGGTACTGTAATCGCCTAGGAGACTTTGGTCGAGCCTAAAAAAACGCGGCTGTTTTTCTTTCAGAAAATCTAGAATCTAAGCAAGCTGTAAATTTTCATAAATTTCGAAATTTGGGATTTATGCGAATACGAGACCGTTATGCGGCGGCTAGTTTTGACCAAAAGTGGTAGGTAGGTTAGGTTATTTTGCGAAGCCGTGTATGACTGCATCTTCCTTTTATTCAGAGGCAAGTTTGATTTATAGCCGGGGGTTATTCAAATCTATCCCGGATGAAATTGTAGAAATCCGATGCTTTCACTTCCGTTATCTCTGTCAAGTTGGTAAAAAAGCGTGATCCTAGGTGCTTGAGTCGTTTTGTCTGGACAGCTGCGCATCAACATAGAAAGTAGTAAATCGATTCATCCTCTTCTTCATTCCGTAAGCTCCTGCAAAGGGAACTCGTTGGTATACACCATCGTTGGAGCAGAGTGAGGCAATATAAAAGTATCCTGCGGCAAGAACTCCTACTGCGTCAAGAAACCCTTTGATCTTAAAATATGCTCAGTTCTTTTCTTGTTAAGCCTGGTCAATAACGGTCTAGACATTTCACAATCATCTCGTTGATTCCATATATCAGTTGTTGCGACTCGTAAATTTCCTCTGTAGGTCACTAATTGGTGGTTGTAGAAAATTGTACGCCTTGCTAGTTGGCATTTCCAGGCCGGGTCTTACCATCTAACTGAATATTTCCTTCCCTTCCATACACCCAGAAACCCAGCAGGAAGCGGCCGAGTGATGCTAGCATTGCGCAGAAATGCCGACCATTTATTGACTTCACTATTTTGGATTCGGGCGCACCTTAACTACTCAAGATCTCTGCGTGCCCGTGTTCGGTCTGCTTCCACAATTTTGATTCGCCTAATCTTAGGCTAAATTTTTTGATTTGACTAAAACTTGTCCTTCCCGTCAAAGGGTCGGTAGGCCTGAAGCAATTTTAGTGAAACGCCTTAAAATAGAGGAAAAACTTCACTCTTTCCGGAGTGCTTTGCTTTAAAATCTCTCACAGATTTGGGATTTTTTTTTTAATCGTGGCACTGGTAATCAGACAGGCGCCAATGACTTCCACTATCCGGATCTCTTTATGAGTTTATCTTAATCAGAGCTTAATTTTGATTCATGGATATTCTTTAAGCAAAAGCCACACGTTTTTATTCCCTATGAAGATATGCTGTTGTATTTCAAACAGGAGTGTCTGTAAACTTTAGGGCCATAAACTTTATCAGCGAGAAAAATTCCTGTGTACAAACGCAGCTACGAGGACCCGTACGACCTCGTGCATTTTGTTTAATATCAGTGAAGTCGCATATCAAGCGATGGGTCTGTACTCAGCCTCCTGAGATGGGTGTACTTTAAAAAAAAATAAATAAACCAAGTCTGGGGTCTTTTAGGCTTCTTTATGAGAAATTTTTCTCATCTTTCCACACCACAATTGTTTTTAGTTTGCACCGAAAACAAAACGCATCGCATATTGCCGCATTCTTTTGGGAATTTTCGCCTACTATTCCAACCAAGTGCAACGAGTCCCATGGATGCCGAGTTCAACTCCCTGTTCAGCGAAGTATCGTCGTACATCCTGCAAACATTCAGCATACAAAACACTCTGTCCCATTTATTAAGTAAGGGAAGAAAATTTCGAGCGATGAATGCTGGCCAAATAAACGTCAAAATTTGCACCTAGCACCTTGGTTAGTCCAGCCTCGTTTAGTACGAATTAGTTTTCCAATCCAGTTATTTCATGTTGACAATATGGAGCCTAAACTCTTCCAAATTTCCAAGTAATTCAACATCCGAAAAATCCGACTGAAAACAGCTACGTTATGTACTTTTAATAATAATTTACTTGATCTAATTTCTAACCACCAGATGCGTATTTTTACACGCTCATAACCATATATAAAGAGCTCATCAAACACGATCCACTTGAGCGCCAAAATGATAGCAAATAGCTAAACGCTTTGGTCAATATTAGCGGCCCATGTTTGCAAAACAACCTTTGTCTGTGCAATAGCTGCTCGCTTATATTGTTTTCCTTTAAAACCGTGTTGAATATTTAACTATATAATATTGTTTATTGATTCACTTTTTATATTCTTAACAGCATTAAATGGCTATTGAAAATAACTTTTCTGTAAAATTTTAGCACCAAAGTAATCAATTTCACAAATAAGTTAAAAGATAAACACAAATACGCTGCTAAATAGCCTTTTAGCAACTACGCTTGTTCGCGTACTAAATCGACTATATAATACATTTCCATTTTTCTTTGACTTTATGCTTCATTTCGAGCACCTTGCGGATTGAAAGTCAGTCGAGTGCACGCGGCTTTGGGTGGTGGTACGCATGCGCCGTTTACTAAGTGGAAAGCCTGTGACTAGAAAATACTATTTGGTGAAAAGTGCAAATTTTGTGAAAGTCATACATTTGAACATTTGATTTTAAATAAAATTGTTTAATGCCGTCTTGCCGTTCGTCACATTTTGTATTTACTCTTTAATGGCAAGGATCTTCTTATTGGGAATATAATCACAAAATGCAAAATCAGCAGTGTGAAGTGCAAATGCTAACTGAGGCCGAAGAAGTGGCCTTGGAAAAGGAGGATCCGAATCCTTTAACATATCAATGGAAACACCAGTATATGCGTGGCATATCTGCCTCAAATTCACAGGCAGGCGTCTACTATGAAGCGTTGAAGGGATCGAGTCCCTCGTTGGGCAGAGGGTATGTGCGAGAAATAAAATTATTATTTTTTGATTTTAAAATCAATTGAATGTTGGAAAAAAAAGAAAGCGGTGATTCGTACTTTGCCACTAAACAACAGCCAGAGAAAAATTTTCCCTCTAATCACAATTTTAGTTATTAGTTTTTTGTTTTGGAGGAAAAGTGATCACAATTATAAGTCCGAATTTTGCGGACTATATTAAGTACGTATGTATTTATATAGAATATTTTTTTTTTTTGTAAAACGCCTTAAGGGCACATGTGTGAATATTGATTAAATTGCGAAGCTAAAATGGTTTTCGTAATTTTTTTTATGAAAAATAATTTTTTAAATTAAAGTACATATGAAAAAAATTTGGTAAACAAATTTTCTGAGAAAAAAAAATTTCTCAAAATTTAGCTTCTAATTTTTTTATTCCGTTGTCGCGCAATTTTCCAACGCCGTCATAATTCTGTTGACATGGAATATTACCTTTCTCTTATTAGCTCGGGATGTAACTATGTAATATTGATGCGCCTAAAAGATGCAACGATTTCTATTCTCAAGTTACATAACTGATGACAGTACGGATGGCAATTGTAATAGGGAGGTTTTAGTTTTTTAAACTATAATTTTTTTACATACATATATGTATATGTAGCATTCCAGCGCAATTTGCGCACAATTCGGCTTTTCCATTTTTTTTCATAATGGTATAGTACTAGCAATTACGAAAACCCTTCCAGATTGTTTTAATTTGCGTTTTCCAGAAACTTTCCAGTTATCGGTTTTGCCGAAAAATTTGAGAAAAATGGGCCGGTGGATAAATTTTTTTTTTTAAGAAATGCAAAAATAAATAGTTTTTAGAAATCAACATGCCGATTAAAAATTTTAAAATTTCATAGAGATACGGTTTTGAAAATTACTTCGGTTTTAAATTCCAAATTGTTTTGAGAATGAATGAAAAATTAAAAAAAAAAAAATTTTTCTCAATCGGTCCATTTTTTAAAGAATGAACTTTTTTCAAAAATCGATATCTCGAAAACAGCTCGATAGAAAAAATTTAAAAATTTAACAAAGAGCAACCAACCTAATATAAGAGAGCAAATTTAGTAATTTATGATGCCAGCAAAAGTCCTTCAAGAGCCCCAAAAAGAGTCTGAAATGAATCGCACTATATGAGGCCAATATAAGTCCAATATGACTCATATTGAGCCTCATTTATTTAAGCTGATAAAAGTCGACTTTCGGAGGAAGGGAAACACCCTCATTTCGGACTCTTAAATGAGCTCATTATGAGCATAAATGCTCCGAAATAGGTCTCCCTAAAGACTCATTTATGACTCCAAATGTTTGCTGGGTACCTTCTTTTTTCTACAATGTATCGAAACTGTATTAAATGTCATTTGTATGAATGTAAAATGTGTGCCTGTTTATCTTAAGTAACTTAGTATCTATGGATGATTTGAACTTGATCTACTTGCGAACAGATATGTATGTATATGCCTATATTTTTACGATGTAGAGATTACACAATTGCTTCCTTATCAGCAAAGAAAATAAAATTTGCTCCGATGATGACAAACACTTATAACGGGTGATTTTTTTGAGGTTAGGATTTTCATGCATTAG